TATATATATGTATGTAGAGCGCTATCAATGACCACAAAATGAATTTGTCGGTAAACGAAAAATAAATGTTTGGGAGTAAATATATTTCTTCTTTTTCTCTTACCCTCCAACAATTCCGTCTTTTGCTCGTGCTGATGCTCGTTTGCAGTGGTCGCATTGCGACTACCAAAAACACTGTAAGCATTTCTGGTGAAGCTCAAGTTTAATTTATTCGGCGTGGGCGGCATGCTCGCGACTGAAAAAATGCAGCTCAACCGAAACTTAAGAAGGAAAACGTGATTAAAATTTTCAACAGAATTCTCTCTTTAACTCTCTTTAAACTCTCGCATTCCATGCGATATCTGTTTTCCTTTATCTTTTTTTTAACTTTTATAGAAATATCGTCTCTTCTATTTTTCTTCTGGAAATTTTTAAAGAATGTTTTCGTTCGACTTCTTTTGACCTATTCCCTGTGTTACTTGTCTTCACTACTACGTATTGTAATTTAACACTAGCCTTAGTATCTAATGAATTATTGTCCGTATATGGGTGCTCCGTGAGGCCACCTCAGATCGCTCGATGTGAGACAGAATTACTTGCTATGATTAAAAATTCAGCTGGGATGTTGAAACGCGAAGACAAAGGGGAAGAGGGAGAGAATGCCGAAGACGATCGGTGAGCTGCTAGGTACGACGTGGTGCCGTTTGAACAATTGTGCTCTTCGGGACATTAACCCCGTCTGCTACCGACACCGATTGCCCGCCATTTCGGGATCCCTCTTCAAGGTCCTCGTAGCAGGTCTTAGCGACGTGTTATCCGGCATCTGGCCGGCATCGAGCTGGCACGGGAGACGCAACAATGACGACGATGACGTTCTTCTATGGACTTTGAAGATCGTCTCGTGGTTGTGCCAGAACCATAAATCGATGGCAATCGTTGAGAGAGTGGCAGGAGAACAAGGATGCTGATGAGCGAATAGCAGTAGTTGGTGCTATCGCTTTGGACCTGCCCTCAGCTTCCTGGATTCGTGTCAGTCGCCAGGGTCGGTGAGCTTTCGCCAGCCGATTCGTGGCGTGATCGCCGCTCGTTCACCCTCACTCATACCGCGTTTCAAGTACACCAAATCCGAAGTGCCCCTGCCTGCGGAACCGCCACGTAGCGGCCGCGGTTGCGGCTGCGGTGCTAGCACTAGATCGCAGTAACGGCTCGCTTTTCTCTGCGTTCCACCTTTAGCTCTCGAAGATGATGATCCGTGATCTCTGCGACCGTACGCGGCCGCTACACTAGCTTCTGCCGCCTCTCTTATGTGCTCGTGCCTCCCTTGTGCTGCTCGTTGGCGCGATCGCAAATACATTACGGGTTATAGGAGTATCCGGGATTGCCGTCGGGATGTCTCGATCGGCAGAAAGATTGTGACAGCACACTATTTTTTACACGTGCACTACTGAGATTTTCCCCTGGAGAAACGCAACAGTCTTGGTTGTTTTTCAGTAGAAATATTATCAGACGCACTCACACAGTATAAGTATACTTAATGATGAGTAAACAAGTTCTTCCGATCAAACCAATCAATACGAGGAAGAAGTTACGCAATATTAGCGCATTCCCCGAAATCACGAATCTATAAATAAATTACTGTTATGATTATATCAACATCTCAATTTTCGATAATATGAAGTATATGTGACAACTGGAGAGATAAGAGAAAGACTTCTCTACACAGAACACCAGATTTTACACTTTTCGCGAATACGATCGTCCTCGCGGAGAAACGATAATTTTTCCTTTCGTTGCACTATTTTTTCAGATGATTCGCTTAAACTCTTCATTCTTTTCGGGACTTCTAAGTACAGAGAATACAGTGCAATAGTTTGTGTCTAGCATTTTACTCATAGTGCTGGTATATGGTATCGTTGATACGCAATAGTATGTCCCGATTTTGATCACTTGCAAATTAAGAAACGGAAAAGAAAACGCCACTCTCCTACGAGAAATCACTTTGCGCGCTGGTGTTTCTTCGGTGCGGCGCTCATTCGTGGTGTTGCCGTCAGCACACCGGGATATTGTACCTCGCAAATAAATCGTCCTGCGTTTCAAACTCCAAGACGTTTCCTTACAGCGAGCTGCGTGCAAGTGCAAGACAATTTGCGAAAATGTGCTCGTACTAAAATGGCGGCGCGGCGCCGTTGTTTCGGAGTTCAGCTTCGAAATTGCTGACTCTGGCCAGACTGGCTGGCTGATTAACTGGTTGGCTGCGCAGCAATTCCTCGTGATTGCTGATCGCCGACGTCGCTCGTTGATAAAACAAACGACGAAACTTCACTAGAAGGAGATTTCCTTCATCGTGGAATATCGAAGAACACGCGGTTGAACGGTGCAATGTAGAGCTGGGGATTTATCTCCTCCGGATTGCGACCTGCCTCTGAACGTGAGCGAATCGAATATATTGCTTGGCACGGAGACCGACCGAGAGGAAGACTTGCGCCCTGAGTCGTGGCAAACTCGGTTACAGGAACGTATCTAAAAAGGGTGCTTTGTCAAGCGAGTTAAACGGGTTCAATGATCCAGCAGGGACAACTAAATATCTATTGGCTGAGCTTTCAGTCCGCGCATGATGAGAAACGTGATCAATCATAGTTTACGAAAACAAACATTAGATAAGTTTTATCTAGCACTTGTGCACTTCGTTTTCGTAAAACCGATTGCGAGGAATATTACGAGGATAAATATATTATTCAGATTATCATACGAAATATCATTTCATATTTTTAACACTCAACAGTAGTTAGTGTTTAACAAGTATCGATCACAGTTTATTTTAAAGACTTATATCTTAATTAACTTTATCACAAATTTTATCACTTAAAATATTCTTTTGATATTTTAAAATCAAATCCTTCTAGATGTTTTATAAAATGCAACATATATTTCCAATTTTCTTTTTCTACGATATGAAGCGCATCGTTTGAAAAATAAATTGAGATTAAAAACACATTTTACCAATCATTTGTAAATAAATTCTTCTTAAATAAAAGTAATTAAGATTAAAAGTAATTAAGATAATTAAAATAGTAATTAAGAGGCATAATTAAAAATCAGTAAATTATTTCGTAAGATTTTTAATTCGAATCGTGATTTTTATTTTGTCTATAAAAGACATTTCGAAAGTTCGGAAGAACATGCATATCCTTTTGTTCTTGTATAGCCGCACCTGGAGTTCCCCTACCATTAGCTGCTCAACTTATAACGATGACGAACGTCGACATCATCGTCGATGCCGACCATGACTCATTTTTTCGCTAGCGCCGGCGCGACTGAGTTTTCTCGTCATCGTTCTCGCTAATTATGATTTTGATTTAAATCATCTTTCCTTAATCAGATTTAATTCAACTTTCTCTTCTGTCATTATTTGGCTTCCGGTAACAGGTACGCATTCTTTTCCATCATATATCGCTTCAGGCTCTGCTAACTGATCATACCGGCTGTCTTCATTCATCCAATTTCGTCTCTTCGTCTTTTACTCCGACTCCCTCCTGTCGTTTCTGCTGCTATTTCCCTCTTGTTCCCTCGCATCTCATGGTCTCATAGTTGAAATATCGAACGACTAGACTCTCGTGGTCTATACCTCGTTTTAGCTAACACATTTCTGACACGTATTCTCAGTTGCGAGCATTTAAAAACTTTTATTTTTTGACAAGTTATATCTGAATATCTATAAAATTTTGGAGTAACTCCCATTTGAAGATATTTAACAATACAAATATTTTTAATTGAACATATTCTTGTGTTTAGA